AAAATTTTGGGGGCAGGGAGAAACATCTTCTGGCATTTTTCATGAGCCATAAATTCCTAAGTCCTCCCCCACCTATTCACCCCACAAATATGGATCAAGGGATCAATGGATCAATGGGTAATTGTATAGAATGTCTTTAATAGAGAACCAACCCCTATTTCTTGCATACATTGCTCAGTGCTCCTACCAAGTGTTAAATTAAAATTTACGGTAGTGCTAATTGAAGTCACATTTGTGTGTGTGCTGCGTGCTGTTAGGCAGGAGGAGACTTCTTTTGCTGGAGATTAAAACTTCTGTAATGTCTTCTTGGGCTTATAGCAGTTTAATGCAAAAGCAAAACATAATTATAGGAGGCTGTTAATGGATTAAATGGCCAGTGTTGCTGTCTAGCTGTGTTCCAGTTTTTCCTCTGTTGGCTTTGTGCTGTCTGTTGTCATCCCCTAATTATCTGTTCCTTTTTCAGTTGGCAGCTTTAACAGGTTGAGGGTATTATTCAAACCCAAATTAATTTGTGTTTTTCAGGAATTGCTTAAAGAGTAGGAGTTTTATTTGGAGCTTGATATGGCAATAAAATCTTTATCAGATGCAAAAGAGAAATATTTTTTGGCTGACTTTCACTGCCATGAAACTATTCACATTGATCAGCAAGAGCAGGGAATCTCTGCTGTTGCAAAACAAAACAAGAATTTCTGAAAGTGCTTGGCAGCTGATTTGTTTCTGCATGGCCTATCATCACTAGCTACCATCTCCTGTAGTTTCTGAGGGTAGAAAGCTATGGCACTTCCCAAAAAACTGAATAGGGCATCTGCTCAGGTCTTAACTGACATTTGAACCATTGATAGTGATAAACTGAAGAATATAAGGAAAGAAATCTGGCATTAAAACCTTAAAATCTCAGGATCTTCATTCATGCAGCCAGTGAATTAAATAAGAATACTGTGTAGCATTTATATAGTGAGAAATTCTTCCAACCTGCAAGTCCCTTTAGAGTACTGGAACATAAAGTGGATTGCAGCCATTCTTCTAAATCTGTGCACTGCGTTGTCACCATCCACAAAAATAGACAATGAAAAATAATTAGTCATAGAACTCTATTGCAAGCATTCTAAGGAGAAAATAATCAGTGAATGTGTTTCCTAATAGATACTGAGGAAACAAAGTCCTTCCGGAATCTAATGTTTCAGATGCATTAGCTGCCAGCATGCTCCATGCTTACAGGGAAGCAGGTTGTACTGAAGAGTTCATTGCAACAATCAAGTACTGCCTTTTAAAGATGAAAACATCCCCTGTATTCTCTCTTGCAAACCATCTCTTGGTGAAAACAAGGAAAGGGATGGAGATGAAGACAAAACACAGAAAGAGTTAATTTGAAACTAATCAAACCCCATTTTCTTCCCCTGCATCAGAAATCTATTTCATTTCAGTGCCGAATTCATTTTCAAAGACATGCCGATCCTTTTGAGGGGAATTCCGCATCTTACACAGCTGTGCGTTCTGCCCCGCAGTGTACGCCTTGCTCGCCCACCTGCTTACTGCAAAACACCCTGAACTTCCCAGCCCTGAGGCTGTGCCAGTAGAGCTGTGCTTTAGACTGGTCGCTGATCTCCAGCAAAGACAACGCCTAGCTTGTTATATTTTAAAGTGAAAGTGGTGAAGTTCAAACCTGTGTAAGAATGAGCTAGCAGAACAATTGTTACCTTGCAGAGTGTTATATTGTATTATGCATGGCCATCTGTTAATAATGCATGGTTTCGTACAGCAGTTAAAAAGCAGTTTCATTAAACAGTTTCATTTTAAGAATCATTTGTTAGGAATGCAGCTTCTGAAAAAAGCTAAATTCTCATTCTATATTCAAAGTCTAACCCACATGCTGAGAAGAAAGGAACAGTCATATTTTAAACACATATTACAATTCATGCTTTGAAACATCATATATGTCTAGCCTTAAGTGCCTCCCATTTGATAGTTACTTTATTTTTGCCTGCTTTTGTTTTCTTCATTCATGTTGACTCAACACTACATATTAAAATTTTAATCTCATTTCTTGTTGTGCATTCAGGTGCCAACACTGAGTTGAACTCTACCTGCTTAAAAGCTCATTTACCAGGGCAAAATTATGTCCCTTTGTTCTCATCAGGGCAAACGTAGTTTTATTATCATGTAAGATTAAAAGACCTGACCTTTAGCATGGAAAAATATTGTGGTAACTCCTACAGCTCCTAACTTTAATACTCAGGAGTATCATCCCTGCATAGCTGGCAGAGCACTAAAACGTATACTGCATCTGGCAGAGATGCATATTTTCAGCTTCCATCTGAAGCATGCATTGGCTGCTGAATTGACTATATTGTTGATAGAACAATGCGTCAAGTCCAGATCTAGTGAATCCTAACTGGTGGGCAGGTATATCAGTGGGAAAGCATACATTCACCATTTTAACAGAAACACTGACCTGAAGTCAGAGGCACACTATCCCCTGTCCCTTGCTGGTGGAATTAAGCCATCCCCTCCTTCGTGACGAGGACTTATGCACAGCCAGCTCCAAGAGCACAAACATTTCTCACTGAGGAGCAAAACACACTCAGGAAGCTGCCAAAATGGGGGGAGCAAGAATGACCATATAATGCAATCACCCACATACACACACAAAAGATGGCAAGTGGAGGGAAATACCATTTTTACCTCAGCCTGAGAAAGGCTGAGCAGCCTTTTTTCCTTTTTTTTTTTTTTTTTTTTTTTTAACAGAAATCACAGTCATTTCCAGATTCAGGCAGTTTCTACACTGAGAGCAAACAGCATGGTCAACCTGCTTGTTATATTGTGATATTTGAAGTCTTCTTTCACCTCCTCTTAGTTACAAGACATTCTCTTGTTCACTCTAGAACAACTGCAGCTACCTTCTAACCCTTGTGGTCACAGAATTGACCTTGAGAACAGCTCCAAGGGTGACAGTAAGGTTCCCACTGCGGTTGCTCACCCCACAGCCCTCTGGACCTGAGAGTATCCCAAGGCATATCCGCTTTACGATGCTGGAAAATGATACAGTCCAAGAAAATGGAAGACAAAAGCAGACTGTTAATAGCAGCAGTTCACCAGGCAAAAAAATATTGGTAGCTGTCAGCTGCACCAGCAGGCGATGCCCACATCCTGTATCAGTCATAACACCAATGAGTTTTTGGTATTCCATGCTAGGGATCACAGAATCTAAAGTCAGCCCAGCCTTTCCCCTGCAAATATGTGGAGAAGTACAGCTATTTTTTCTCTGTGACAATCGGTATTACTTAAAAGAACTTTAGAAGACATTCCTTAACAAAATCAACCTTTTTACCTCTTCCTCCCCCAGTTGGACAAAAGAGCAACAGGAGAATAAGGCAGGGCTAAAAGACGAAAGACTGTTTGAATTTCAGACCCAGACTGAATTCTCAAAGCCAACATACCAGAAAAAGCATTTGATTGCTTATAAATTCTGAGAATAAAAAAGATTAAAGTACAGAAAACATAGTTCTTCCTTATGTTCACAGCCCTTTTCCAACGCATTTTTATAGTCATCTAAAAGACAATGTATAATTTCTGTTCCTATATGCAGACTGCTGAAGTAATTGTCATGACTGAGCATTAGAAAAAGCTATGGTTTAAAATACACATTTAAATTTAAAAGTGATAGCTATTATAGAGAGAGATGTTTGAGAAGTTTATTCATAAAGTGAGATTTTAACCTTCTATCAGATTATTGTACATTCTCTATTTGTCATCTCTATCATGCAAACAATGCTAACTACACTCAAAAAAAAAATCCCATTTCTTCTAAATGTTGCTTCGCACCATATTATGAATGTGGCCTTACTAAATATATCCCATAAATACAGCTACTTCAGAATACAAAGAATTACTTTCAGATTAATGTAGGGTAGGATTTTTTAGTCCATTTTTTCTCTTTTCTAAATGTCACACTCTCATAATGGCCTACCAACAAAAGACATCAGCAATAATCTTTCCTTCTGGCTGAAGATTCAGTGGGAAATACTGGCCACAAAGAGGCACACACAGGACACACCAGACACAAACTTTGTGGTAGGATTTTCACTGAAACCCTGTCATAGTTCAATCCTTCATGGTGGTGAAGCCACAAACTACAGATACCAAACAATATGAATTCATTAAATAGCTACAGGAATTTTTTAACGCAGTAGAAAGCTTTGGGAAATTGATACAACAAAATCCCTTCATTTAATGTAATTTTGATCAAACTGAAGTAGCTCAGCCAAACAAGCCCTGTTGTAAAATTGAAATGGGTCCCCTTTCTCATGCGCTAGTTTTGCTACCAAGGGAATGGTGCCAATTTATTATTATTTTTTAAAGAAACTGCCGTCCATAGATGTATTCTTAATTAAGAATACATGTTCTAATGTTTAATTAGTCTCTCTGTTAAATACTAACTTTTTCCCATAGTTAAAATGTGATTTGCTTCACGTTCCAGCAATTAGATCCTTTACCAAACATTTCCAGAATTTGTATTACATTAGGTCCTGGAAGACTGACCAAGATAACTCATACTATTTCCTTTAGGAAAACTAGAGATAATGTGTTTCAAAGCTCCTACACACCCTACAGGACTTTTTCTCTTCGGGCAATCACATCTTTCCCCTGAGTTGTCTGCAGCTTATCATTAGTTTCTTTGAGTTGCTGATGGAAAGTGACACTTGTTCCTTACCACAGAGAATTCCCAGTTCTGTTTGCTATCACGGTCTCTGTATTTTAAGTTTTCTTGCTCATATCTCCAACAAGGGTTAACATTTTAAAAGGATGTCTTTAAGTCAAACAGATGGTGTTACACTGGGTATTTGTTTTCTGCTGCTTACTTATAAAATTTTCACCACGTTCCAAGCTCACTGCTTCTCAGGCACAGTCTCCCATTCTGTCACCATCGCCTTAATATTTTTCCCCTCATGTTCAATCCTATATTGTTAGCATAAACTTTTAAATAATTAAATTTCCCTTACCTTATCGATTCATGCAGAAAGGTCTATATCACAGGCCTCTTCATAATCCTTAGTTCTTCCAGTCCTATGTCACCTGCAAAGGTCATCTGTGAGAATCTACTGTGCTCCTTTGGGTCACCACTAAACACCTTAACTAGCGTAGATCAGAAAGGAAATGCACAGAATAACTACTCTGGTTACTATAGGCCTCAAAATGCAAAGTTGCAGAACTTCATTAGGCAGATAGCTACAAAAGAAGTACAGAGAGGGTGCTTCAAGTAATCCTTTTTAAATAGCACACAGATATAATGCCATACCCCTTAGCATTTGAATGAAAAGCTTCTCCTAGGAAAAACAGCTTTGGAAGAAATCCATAAATTCGTCTCTGGTGTTTGGGTGTGATAGATTTTCTCAGCATGTTCAACCTGATATAAATAAGTGGGCAAAAGGCTTCACAAGATGAAGTTTAAATGTCTCCAAAAGTACAAGTAACGCTATGGTGTCAAGGCAACACACACACACACAAAAATAAAAACATCACAGAACATGTCATGGAAATATAAGTACACACACTTCATGAATATTTATCATTGCATGTTGGTAGAATAATAGCACAGATGTAAGAAATATAAAGTGAAGGTCTGCAAGACACACAATGAACTGAAGTTCTAATTTATTTGCCTTTGTTAATAACTCGTACTTTTCTTTCAGGGTCTTCTTTTCACAGAAGACATTTTACATGCACACTACATTAATTAGACATGTAAAAGACATTTCAGCCTGCCAGCTCAACTGCTCTGGGCAGTATTCCACCAGATTTCCAGACAATTAGCAGCTGGAACATCTGGAAATCTCAGACAAATGGCCACCAACCATGCAAAAATCGACTCCATATCACACAAGCCTCTGATGCATCCCAGGAGTTCAGAAGCACAGACATCACAGGAGGCTCTCAAGCCTCCTGGAGCGCATGCAGGGCACACTAGAGAAGCTGCACAGGCATAGACCATGTAAGTGTGTGTGCACATGCTCTCATAGGGATGTCAGATTTGCTGTTCTGGGGCTTGAGGAGGCTGGAAGTTATGGTAAGTGTTTCTTTGTTGAGCTTTACATTAGTCTGTTATCTTCCTATCCTCTAGGAGCTCCAGCAGCACTCGCCACAGAAGGAGAAAGAGCTAAACTTTAGTTGTGGTGTCAAAGATCCAGTCTAAGAGACTCAAAACCAAAACCTGAATCCATTTCTTTTATTTCTTCCATTGGTCTAAAGGTCTTGCATACACGAAGACACGAGGAAGCAAATAAATACAGTACGTATCCAGCTGCCTTAACCATTGAAAAGGTAAGTGAATGATGACACAAAATCCTGGTATTTTCTCAAGTGTTTTCAGCATTCTGGCTGAGGTTTTCAAACCCTGATGTTCAGAGTTGGACCCCTAAAATTCCTATGCGCACTGCCATGAAATAAGTGCTGAGCACCCAAATATTGTATGAGGATGCCTTTCCCAGTCTGCTATATAAATAATGAGTCTCCATAACACAGAGTTTACAGAGCTGGCTACTGGCTCTCACACTCTAGCACTGCCTGCCCCTGTGCCTTTGTCTCCAGCTTGTTCCTGATACTGTATTATGGCACAAGAACAATGCACAAGTCCTCAGCAGCTTGCTGTCTCAAAATGAACAGCATTCCTACAACTGATTAATCGGCCAAAAAAAGCCAAAAGTCACATCTGACTAAAAGAGCTTTCCACTTCAAGGCTTGTTCCACAATTCAGTTCAGCTGACAAATGCAAAGACAAGAATTTCTCAACTGTGCAGTTTCCAGTAAGGGATGACCTGCCCCTATTGTTAGGAGAGCTGGGGAAAGAGAAGCAATCCTCTGAAAAGGATATGACTTGGGGGGCATTACTGGGATGTAACACTATGAAAAAGCTACCACTTGCCTACAAGAAGAGAGTCAGGATCAGTTCCCCATATTCTCAAAGTCACTGAGCAGGGGCTGAGCATTACACAAAATGCTGGTGACATAGAGGAAAGGTAGAACCCTTCTGCCCTTGGAACATTTCCTTGTACCCCACCTGAAACGGTAGCCAATGAAAAAGAAAGAATGGAGAGTCTGTGGTGCTAAAGATGTGGCACATTTACACCACAGGCTGAAAAGCAGTTGAGCAGTGTCCAAGAGGACACAAAGGCTGCATGAGATGCTATAAATATAAAGAGAAAAACATATAGGCATGTGCTGAGTTCTGCCCATATTCAACCCCAAATATTTACCACCCTGTTTATCCAATTACCATCCCATTTAGCTGAGCAGTGCTTAACTGAAATTCTTCAAGGTTAGGGCCCCAGGAAGAGTTGCTTTCCTGGTCAATTCTTTGATTGCCTTTACCTCCATCTCTCCAAATACTCTGGATGCCCCCAAACCATTTGGGATAAGCAAACTTGTGCTGAATTTTCTGTCTGTCTAGTTCATTTAGTACTTAAGCAGGGGAAAAAAAACCCCAAACTTTGCTTGTTCAGCTGGCTTAATATTGAAGGTAGGCAGAGATGTCCTCCTTCCATGAATATGCTAAAATTAATCCAATTTGCATGGAAACATAAGCAGCAAATACTTATTTATGACTGGGAGGGAACTGACCCAAGTACGTAAGCTAAAGGTAGATATTTAAAAAAAAAAAACAAATCAGCATAAACATTGATCACTGTAACTTTCCTACAATTAGCTACCAGGTATAATTAATTTGTGCTTCCAGTCATATTAAATTGCTAACAAGCATAACATGTTTGAAATAAAGAAATAATTCAAATAAAATGCAATTAGGGAGATCCAGTTATTTCAGTCTGGGCAAAGTGACCCTAACTCTAATAGCCCGATAGTTAATGAAGCTGGCTTTAAAAGAATTCCTTTTTCTCCCTATGAATATTATCTTTATTTTTTCCTAAACTTCATACCAAAGTTTCAAAATTTAATTAAATATGCTACACAGTCTGGAGGAGTAAAAAGCAAGAGATATGTCAGCAATGGAAATGGCAGACTTCTTGTAAGCAGGCTGCCAACTAAGGGAGTCATATGCTGGGTTATTGTTGAACTGAAGCAGAAGGAGATAAAAAACACATAGGCATGTATTTTTATCCACTTTCAGTTAAGCATTGTGAAAGGTTGTGTTCTTTTAGCTGAAACCTTTCCTACTCCAACTAAGGATAAGATTGCAAGGGAGAGGTAAAATCGCCAGAATAATTTTTTTACTAGAAGACAGATCTCTAGTTTAGTGCAGAGGATCTTTACTTCTAAGAGAGATCACTGTTTTGAAAAAGACTCCTGGCTGTGGGCTTAAGATTGTGTTTGATCAGAAACAGCTCAGAAGGATCAGTCAAAGTCAGCATCTCACTCTTAATGCTTTTCTGCTCAAGACTCCTAAGAAGAGGATTGCCATGAACAGGGAGTACAAGAACATTGCTGTGAAGCAACTCTGCGCATTTGTGCATAGATGAACCATAAGCATTTTAGCAGTGACTGAAGACATGGACAGACGCGTACATCATTAACTAGACCTTCTTTAGTTTGTTACTGTTCCTCTGCTGAAAATTTATAGCCTCTCCATCAGAGCAGACCACATGAACATTCCTCACCCACATCTCAAGCAAAGCTGCTTTTTCGGTGGACAATAAAGTTGGTTTGAAGCAAGGTCAAAAACTTGTCACCAAAGTAGATGAGAAGTATTCATCTGACCTGATACAGCCTCATTTCCAAGGATCACCACATCAGGTTTAGGCAACCTATAGATACAATTCTTGGTGCATGAGTAGGAAACAAAGATAAAATAATGAGAGCTTAAGAAAAAAAGAGACAAAGGAAATAATCACACTAGCTTTATTGCTCGTCTGGTGCCATGTTACCAAAATATTTAAGCACCTAGTAATTTATTCATCCATCATCTTATGGAGAAAATACAGACAAGTATTCATCCTGTCTCTACAGAGGAAAAAGGAGAACACGAATTTAGCATGGCTGCACTCCTGAATCAACAACTGACTAAGATATTGGTAATTTGATTCTGAGAAAAAAAGTGGCCTAGTAAAGAAAAAAGATTAAGAAAAAAAGAAAAGAACTGGAAGAGGTGCAGCTAAAGGACACGGCAACTCTTATTACTTCCATTCTATTTTAGCAGAGGAGAACATTACATATTGATGGTAAATAAGCCAGACTCATGCAACAGAGAGAGGATGCCTTCTGCAGTTTCAGAGAACAGGTTCAGAACCAGCCAAGGCAGAGCAGACTGTATAAATACACATGGAAGGCAGGAAAAAACAGACTCTGCTCAAGCACTTCTGCTCCCCACTTATCCGCTGGTGCTGAATTGAGCAGTTGAACTCCATCTTTCAAACCTGCCCAAGTGTTTTGGAGTGTATGCTGAGGAAACAAACACAAAAAGAAACTCTTTCAGCCTGTACAAGCAACGGCATAAGTAGCCAAGGCATTGGATATTCAGAAGATTTTCTCAAGCTGTGACAGGACTTTCTCCATTGGCTGCTGACCAGGGACTTACTCTAATACTTACATGACCTTCACTCTTTCCATTAGTCTACATCAGCCCCATTTCCGTCTGCTTCACCACTATACGTTTGCTCATCTGCTTACCAGTTCTTTTCATGCACAGAACCTCTTCCTAGCTAAATCCACCTACAAAAAATACTTTTATTAAATTACACTAATTCATAGAGACCTAAGCAAAATTATTTGTCAAGAAATAATTGGTTAAAGAGCAGGCATTCATTTGCTCCATAAGATTGCAACGGCTTATACTCTATCCTATTGCCCACACTCAGTCTAGCTTTTTCTGTTTGGGCTGCCAATACTGTGGACTGTACCTCCTAAACATGAGTTCAGCACTCAAGAACAGTTTAGGAAAAAGAAACAATAATAATATTAAGAATTGCCAAGTTCCTAGCAAAGAACACTATAATGTCCTTATGTATACCATCTGTAAATCCATTATTTGCTCACACTTTATGTGCCCTGTGCTGTGCTATCCCCTCATCGCGAAAAGAATAGGTTCAACAGCCCAGACAAGGGTAAGAAGGATGAACCAAACTGAG